GCCCAGGGTGGGCCGCCTCCCTGCTACCGTCCCTGTGTGGCCTGAAGATCCCGATGATCCCTAAGTCCGAGGAGACACACCTGTTTGTTCTGCAAGGACACCTGCCCAGGGTTCCCCTGACACCAGGACACCCCCCAGGGCCACCCAGCAGGGCCTGCTCTGTGCCTGGTAGGTCTGGCATGCCCCCAGGACACAGGCACCTCATCCCTGTCCTGGGCGTCAGGTGACGTGATGAGTGGCCGAGTCATTAGTGAACAGAGCAGAAGGAATCAGACCATGGGCTCCCCTGAGTCAAGCCACAGGACAACCAGGCTCAAGGTCCCCAGCTTCCTTAAGGCTCCAGGGCCACCACTTAGGGACGCTGAGAAAGGAGGGGACAGGCAGAGGGAGTGTCCCAGGGGGAGGAGCCATCCTGAGTCGCAGACCCCGGCCAGGACGCAGGCTGGAGTGGGGACACCTTTGGAAGGACGACCGGCACTGTTTGGAGGGGGGCAAGGTGCTCCTTGGCTGTGGCAGAAGCCCTGCTGCACAGGAGGGGGCAGCTGGGGTGAGCTCAGCCTCCACAGAGCAGGAGGCCCAGACCCTGGCTGGGGCCGTGGACGGCCGGGGCTGTGTCCTGCCTGCCCTCTTGTTCACCTGTGTCAACAGTCACCCCTTCTACCCTTTGAAGCCCCTCCCCCAATAGCCTTTTCTCATCCGTGGGTTTGGGGACGTCCCACGTCTCTAGGACCCGGAGTCCCAGGGGGCGCACATGACCTCGGTCAGCCAATGAGTGCGTTTCACACGCTCACTCTGCAACTGATCCGAGGGTGGCATGTGACCAAGTCAGCTGACCCATGCCATAATAGGCAAAGAACTGTGGACAGCGAGGCACTCTCTCCCCTGCAGTCCCTCTGCCAGTCCAGGGCCCCTCATGGAGGAACCGCTCTGTGCAGGACACTATCAGGGAACCTCGGAGCCTGAGGAGTGACATCCTGTGATCCCCTGGGTCAAGCCAGACCTGATGCTGACTAGACTTGAGTGGGGTAGGATGCTCCCATTCACGATGAGGTAGCATTTCCTCAGAGGGGCTGCCGGCTGCCATTGATGCCCTTTGTCAAAGGAGTTCTGACGTCCCAGATACACCCATCTTTGGGCTGTGCTGGGCCTGTGCTCCCCCTGGGCATGCCGTCCATGTCTAGGCTGCGGAGACGTCTGTAGGACAAGCCAGCGAGGTGGCGCTCTCCTGTTGGAGTATCTCCACTGTGACGAAGCTGTTCGGCTTTAGGCAGGCGTGGACTCGCGGTAACTCCCTTCAGTTCTCTGTCCCCCAGGGACGAAGCCTGTGAACACGGGCCTCGTCCTCTTCCCTCACGGATCTCTGGAGGAGCCTGTCCCTGTGATGGCAGGATCCGGGCCATTCTGCTCGCAGGGCTTTCTGCAAGCCTCTGCCCGTGGCTGGCTGGCCTCCGCGGGTGGGAGCGCCCCATGCACCCCTGCTCATTGTTTGGCTTCTGGCCCCCTCCCATCTTCTCTCCCTCCGTTCACCAGGCTCTCTCCCTGGGTGTTGAAATCCCGTGCTCCCGTCACCCGGCTGCGCCTCACGCCCCCGTGTGGGATCCCAGCTTCTTTTTCTTCATGACGGTCTCTTCCCATCTTAGTTGCTGTAGCTCCTCAGCCCCGCGTAAGGCCCAGGGTGGGCCGCCTCCTGCGTGGCTTTCCTTGCTCACCACCTCCTCGGTACTCGGTTCTCTTATCCTTTCAAGCGGATTTTAGAACTGATTTTTTAGTTCTGTGAAGGTTGTCCTTGGTGTTTGGTGGGGATGCCCTGAATCTGTACAGCACTTTGGGTAGTTGGCCATTTTCACAATATTAATTCTGCCTCTCCAAGAACATGGGAGATCTTTCCATCTTCCAAGGTCACCTTCAATTTCTTTTTTCAGTGTTCTATAATTTTCCTTGTAGAGATCTTTCACCTCCTTGTTTAGATTAATTTCCATATTCATTCATTAATCTTTTTTTCCTCCTTAATTTTCTTCTTTTTTTTAAAGAGAGACAGAGAGAAAGAGAGAGAGAGAGAGAGAGAGAGAGAGAGAGAGAGAGAGAGAGAGAGAGAGAGAATTTTTAATATTTATTTTTTAGTTTTCGGTGGACACAACATCTTTATTTGTATGTGGTGCTGAGGATCGAACCCAGGCTGCACACATGCCAGGCGAGCACCCTACCACTTGAGCCACATCCCCAGCCCTCTTCTTCTTTTTTTTAATTGAGGTTATTGTAAAAGGTCTGTTTCCCTGATTTCTTTCTCAGCAGAACCACTTGGAGCCTATGAAAGCTGAAATTTATGAGAGGTATCTTGTATCCTGCTACTTTGCTAAATTCATGGATCAGCTCTAGATGTCTTCAGGGTTTTTTTTTTTGTTTTTTTTTTTTGGAGGGGGCCATCTTCTAAATATAGGATTATGTCATCCTCAGAGTTAGATTCCTCCTTTTCCTGATTCCTCTGGCTGGAGTTTGAGAGAACACTATTGAATAGCAGCATGTGAGTGGACATGCTTGTCTTGTTCCTGATTTTAGAGGAAATGCTTTCAGTTTTACTCTGTCCAATATTATGTTGGCTTTGGGCGCATTACATATATCCTTTATAATGTTTGTAAGTTTCTTCTATGTATACCTACTTTCTCTAGCATTTTTAACATGAATGGGTGCTCGATTTTATCAAAGCCTTTTTACGCAGGTATTAAGATGATCATATAATTCTTGTTCTTAATTCTAGTGAAGTGGTGAATTTTATTTCTCCGTTTGCATATATTGAACCAACCTTGCATTCTTGGAATGAAACCCACTTGATCGTGGTGTATTATCTTCTTGATCTGTTTTTGAATGCAGTTTGCTGATCTTTTATTAAGGATTTTGCATCTATGTTCATCAGGGATATTGGTAGTTTTCTTTCCTTGATGTTTTTGTCTGGTTGTACTTGCTTCACAGAATGTGTTCGGGAATGGTCCCTTCCTTTCAATTTCATGGAGCAATTTGAGATACACTGGTGATTTCTTACGTACAGGTCTGGTTAGACCTCAGCTGAGAATTCATCTGGTCCTGGACTTTACTTTGTTGGAAGGCTCTTAATTGTTGTTTCAATTTCATTAATTGATATTGGTCTATTTAGGTTTTCTATATCTTCCTAGTTCAATTTGGGCAGGTCATATGTGTCTAGAAATTTAGCAATGTCTTCTAGATTTTCCAGTTTATCGAAGTATAAATTTTCAAAATTGTTTCTAATGATCCTCTGAATCTCAGAAGCATCTGTGGTTACAGCTCCTTTTTCATCTCTGATTTTGTTTATTTGGGTCTTTTATCTATTTCTTTTGGTCAGTTTGGTTAAGGGTTTATCAATCATTTATTTTATTGAAGAAATAACTCTTTGTTGCATTTATCCTATGTATTACCTTTTTAATTTTCAACTACATTAATTTTAGCTATAATCTTTATTATTTTATGGCTTATACTAATTTTGGAATTAGGGTTTTCTTCCCTTTATGATAATTGAGGGTAGAGTATAAGCTAACTTATTTGGAATCTATTTTTTAATGTAGGAACACAATGCTATAAGATTTCCTCATAGGAGTGCTTTCATACTCTCCAAGAGACTTTGATATACTTTGTCTCTGTTCTCATTTCTCTCTAATGATTTCTTGATTTTTATCTCTCATTTCTTTTACGATCCATTCTTTGTCTAAAACACTACTGTTCAATCTCCATGTTTTATGTGATTTCTATTATTTTTCTTGCTGTTCACTTCCAGTTTCATTCCATGATGGTCCAACAGGATATACAAGATTATATCTTTTTTTTTGTATTCACTAAGACTTACTTATGACCTAGAATATGTTTTATTTTTGAAAAATTTCCATAACCTGATGAAAAGAAGATAAATAGAGCTGCTTTGAGATGAAATATGCTGTAGATGTCTATTAGGTGCATTTGATTTATAGTATTATTTAAGTCAAAATACCTTTATTGGTTTTAGGTTTGGATGACCTATATATTGGTGATAAAAGTGTGTTGAAATCAACCAGTATGATTGTATTGGGGTCTATCTGGAATTCCACAGCAAGAGGTAATTTTTTAAAAAATTTTAAAATTTTTTTGTTCTGATTTGTTATATATGACAATGGAATGTGTTACAATTCACATTGCATATATAGAGCACAATTTTTCATATCTCTGGTTGTATACAAAGTATATTCACACCATTCAGTCTTTATAGTGTATTTTGGATAATGATGTCCATCACATTCCACCATCATTTCTAACCCCCTTCCCCCTCCTTTCCCTTCCAGCCCCTTTGCCCCATCTAGAGTTCGTCTACTCCTCCCATGCTTCCCCTCCCTACCCCACTAAGTAACAGCTTGATGCTGATTATTTTAATGAATCATAATAATGGCCATTACTTACCAGGTGGTTAGTACGTGTCCAATACTGTTTGAACTAGATTTCTTTTTAAAGTCATGTTTGTTGAGATATAGTTTTATATGGTACGATTTGCCCTATTTAGTTTTATAGTTATATGAATTTTAATAACACAGATATAAAAAATGACAACATATAAATATGGACACATAATACTACAATGAAGATATAGAATATGTTACCTTGTTCTACTTACTCCCTTTTTTAAAAACAAATAGAGAAATTAATTTTAATATATTTTCATTTAACCTAATGGATTACCAAAATAATTTGCAAAGAAAATAATTGTTAATAAGATATTTCATGTTCATTTTGTTTGTTCTAGTAATTCTTTGGAATCTAATGTCTATTTAACACATAGCACACCTCAATTCAGACTATATACATTTCAAATACTCAGTAGTTTCATGTAACCAGTGGCTGCCATATTGGCTCCTCTCTCCATCTTTCACGTTTTGGTGAGACATATGCTGCAGGCTGCATGATAAGTTCCCCTGTTATGTGGTTTCTTATTGAGTTCCGTCAAAAAAGGACACCAAAGAGATAAATTCAGAATATACAAGAGTAGAGCAAAGTGTTTTATTTCTCCTTATAAGACTCTATTAGACTGAGTGTGGGTTTCTTCATGCTTTTGGTGGAAATAACTTCAGTTAGGTCGACTTCTCCTACAAGGTTTTCATAGTGGCTCTTTCTTCTTTCACCTCCTACCTCTCCAAGTTTCGGAAGAAAAGGTGCTTCACAAAATTTGTTAGTTTCCCTCAACCTTGCCCTTACCTTTTTAAATACCTTATTAAAAATTTTTACTCTGATTGATCTTTTTCATCCTTGAATCTTGAATAATGGATTTTTAATTATAGGAGACTAAAATATACCTTAGCTCATAGCACAGGCACTATATATACACATACCAGATTAATTATATATTAAAATATAATGTATAAAATGCAAAAACTTTTAAAGAAAATATTTGTATACCTTTGTGAAGAGAAATGGAAAACAATAAGTACAAAATAAACAAAAACCTGAAAAATTAAATAATATTATAGTTAAAATTTTTATGTGTAAAAATTTATCAAAAAGGGTTAAAAGAGACACGAATTGTATTACCAGTCATTTTGGGGATTTTGGTATTTAGTTTGACTTGGTTTCTCCTTTGGTTGGTTTTTCCTTTATTGTAGTTCTTCTCTTTGTAGATTTTCATTGTTGTTCTTCATTTCCTCCTCGTGGAATATTCAACAACTCCTCCTTAAAAAGCCATGGGCTACATTTTTGTATTGTATCAACGTATGCCCTGACTGCTCTTGGTTTTACTGGGGATGCCTCCTTCCTCTAGCATTTTACTTAACACTCTTTCGGTTTGTTTTTTACTAATTTCTAATCCCATATTTGTGCTACAAGGATAACGCAACCCAACAAGATAACACAAAACAAAACCGAAACACAGTGAAACAAAAATGAACAAAAAATCATTGTTTCAATTTTCCTATTTTCTTGAAATGTATATTCATGGTCTATCTCTATCTCTTCCTCAGGGGCGAACCACTTCAAACCTTGAGCCAACCATTTTTCCCAGTTTGCTTGAGAAAGTTCTAGGGACAGGCAGCTTGAAACAAATACAAAACAAATCAAAACAAGAACACATTTTTTTTTGAAATGGTCACCTATTCTCTCGCCTTTCCTCAGGGGCAAGCAATTTTACTTACCCCCAAGCTTCAGGCGTCCCCCACACGGGCCACCAAATGCCGCAGTCTGGCTGGGCACAAAATAACTGAGCCGCCATGAGGCACTTGTGGGTTCAAAATAGGAACCCCTTTATTATCCGAACTCCCGGGAACGCCACCCACGTGGCCCTTTCAGGAACACCACACACCAGAAATCCCTCCTCCAGCACCTCCCCAACCAATGCAAACTCTCCAGGAATCTCCCAAGAACTCCAAAGTAGCTCAAGAACTCCAAAGTAGCAGGCCCAGGGGGACAGCAGGGGTCTAATATACAATTGAATACACAGCTTAACATAACCATCATCATCTCAATGGCACGCTGGCATCACCTCTCAACCACTCCCTTCTGGTACAAATGCCATGCATCATTCTGACTTGGCTGTGGCTCTCAGCAGTATTATATCTTTCATTTCTAGGAATTTTGATTGATTTCTTTTCAGTATCTCTATTTATTGAAATGTTCTTTCATCTCCTTTATTTTCTCTCTTCCTTAATTACTTAGATCTTCTTTTAGTTCATTAAGCATTTCAATAATCAGTTTTTAAAATTACCTTTTTCTGGAATTTCATCCACTTCCAATATCTGTGAGATCCTTTGTTGGGGGATTGTGAATTTGGGGGAAAGATTTGTTTTCCTGTTTCCATGTTTTCAGAGGTCTTGGACTTGTGCAATCATTAAAATGGAGTCTCTTCATCTTATATATGCTTTTACTTTTGTGTGTGTTCTCTCTTTTGTTCTGGGACTTCCCTCTGTGTATGATATATGAGTAGATGTCCAGGGATGTAACATAAGTACCAGCTCTGGCTGTTCCTCATTGGAGCCTGGTTGTTGGTGTCAACCAGGTAGTTTTGGAGCAATCACCTTCAGTTGAACTTCTCTTGGTGAGCTTGAAAATATAGTTCCTTAAGCAAAGTAGGCAAGGAGTAAACTGTGACACTGGCACCATGCAGAAGACAGTGATGTACAGCTCATTATTAAGTAACATATTAGGGCTGGGATGTGGCTCAAGCGGTAGCGCAGTCGCCTGGCATGCGTGCGGCCCGGGTTCAATCCTCAGCACCACATACAAACAAAGATGTTGTGTCTGCCAAAAACTAAAATAAATAAATAAATATTAAAAAAATTAAAAAAAAAAGTAACATATTAGATGGTCAAACCGTGACATTGGCCCAAGAGTAGGAAAGAATATGTGGGTGAAACAAGTGGGTGAAAGAATTAGTAGGAGTAAAGAAAGTAAGAAGAGAAAACTTGTAACTGAGAAGGCACAATTGAAGAAATTGTCACTTGGTGGTTTATTCCTCCTACGAAGTCACATGCAGGTCATCTGCTGAGGGCAAGGCTAAGAGGTCACAGAATGATTAAAGACACGACTCTTGTTATGAATGCAGAAGAAACTAATTGAGATAGAGAGAAGTCCTGCCTGGCAGAGCCGATGACTAGGCTGGCACTAGAAATCAGGGATGTTCAGGAAAAGTGTGGATGACCTTTCTGTTGGCAAAAGAATATCGACAATTGAATCCAGAATATAAATACACCAATAAGGGGCTCCAATTGGAGAGAAAATAGAGACAGCAACTGACTGAAAATCTCAGTGTGGTGGTGGAAGAAAGTGAAGGAGATGAGAGGATGGAAAGCTCTTATTGGGGAGTGGTGTGTCAGATTCACAATCGAAGCACTAGAATGCGAAAACTCACAGGCCGCAGCCTTGGTCTACATGCATAAAGCACAGAAGTAAAGGTACTAAACAAGTAGGGTCAGAAATATGAGGCCAGCATGACAGGTGACTTATCCATGTGGACTTTCGTCACCAGGAATATGGCAGAGCAGAGAGGATGACTGTGAGCCAGAGTTCTCAGTGGTAGATGGCCAATGAGGCTGGGTAGGGATGGATGGTGGATAATGATAGACAGGGTTGGGTAGCAGATAATGACAGATGGGGTGATGACAGGTAGTGATAGTGATAGGGGTGATAGTAGTGATAGGGGTGGATGGCAGATAATGCTGGACAGAGGTGGATGATAGATACTGAGAGATAACAGTGGTATGTAACAATGTTATCTGATGGTATCCAATGGTCAATAACAGTGTGAGATAGGCTGGCAGGTGATACAGCCAAATGGAAGTGGTCTCAAAGAAAAAGGTTTTTTTGTTTTTTTTTAATAGGAAGAAACATAATGGTTTGGGTATGATAGTGGAAAGCTATAATAATTCAAAGCCCTATTTTCTACATGGTATTAGGAAGAAGACAAGCAGCTTCCTGTCATATTGCTTGAAGGGATTCCACTATTGTTGGGTAGACTCTGTATTTAGGAAATTTATTATGTCTAGATCTTGGAGTATATGAAACCGAATGGAAAGGATGAGGAGCCGTTTGCAAGCCATGCTAAGGGTTAGGGTTTGTACTTTCCTTGGAGAAATGAGATAGAAGTCAGCAACCAAGAAGGAGTCACAAACCTTTCAGGAAAGATCATCTAATAGGACACATGGGAATCCTCTCAATGGCTATCTGTCATTACTGAGAGTCAGGAAGCCATGCTACCTCTACATGACACATACCCTGTGGTGTGTTGCTGTGCTGTTGGAGTCTTTTTGAAAGAAAACCAGTCAATCATTTATGACATCTAAAATTTAATTAGAAAGACCTTAATATTGCTCAAATTTAGAAACTAGTTATTAAAGAGAAAGAAGTAAACTTTGTTGGCCAACTTCAGAATGTCCCACCTTCCCGTTCACCACATGCGGTCTGGCAGAAGATAACTTGAGACTTTCCTGCTACTCTCTCTCTGTCCCTCCAATCCTTCTCTTAGACACCTCCATTTTTCTTTGATATGTAAAAGCTAAAAACTCGGGACAAAAAACAGGATTCAATCAGGTGCAGTGGGACTGGACTGTCATAAAAATAAATAAAAGGGCTTAGGGTATGGCTCAATAGGAGAGTACCCTTGGGTTCAATCCTCACTACCAAACAAAACAAAACGACATGATTCATAAATCCATAAATTCTGAGGTGATTAAAAAATGCCTTAAATACCATTTCCCATTTATGATATGTGAAAAATAATACTAGAAAAAAATGTTCCCTTCTGCCATACCATGGGGCAAAATAAAGGATCTATGCCTTCCCTAGGAAGCTATTCCTTTGAGATGAGCTTTTGACGTCCTTTTGCCCTCTCTATTGATGTTTCTGGACTTTGGAATAATGATATTTCTCTGGTTAAGATGAATCAACTGTTTTTGTCTTTTATGAGCCACACTGAGAACTTTACCCCTGCAAACGGAGGGCTGTTCCTTCACCTGCTCTTGGCAGCTCAAGTCAGGCTTACTAGAAGAATCGGTGACCATGCTCGCACCCTGCATCCACTGAAGCATGGGCACTCAGGGGCTGGGATGGCAGGAAATTTAACATGTCTAGGTTTTAAAGTGCATGATAGGGAATGGAGAGAAATGGCACACAAGGAGCCGTTTGCAAGCCATGCTGAGGAATGGGTTTGAGCTTTCCTTGGAGAAATGAAATGGGAATAAACAAGTTTGTGCTGATGTGCACTTCTTTCAGACCACTCAGGGGGTGATATGGACTGCAACAGGGGAGAGGAGAAAGGTGCTGCAGCCACCTGCACATACCACATCTACTCTCTGCAGGACTCAACCATCGTGTCATCAGGGCAGAGAATGAAGGGCTAAGTCCATACGCAGTTGATTGGCTTAATATCATCATCAGCAGGGAAGTTCTTTAGGGAGACGTTGATACTGGCCCATGGGTTCTGTATGACCTTTTCTAGGTGGAATAAGGTTACGTGTAAAGAACCAGGGAGTTACGGAGTTGGGGGACCAGAGAAGGAAAGTGTAATGTTAAAAATGTGATCTGGGCATTAAATGTTTTAAATGGTGATGCCACTCTACAGACATAACAGGGTTTCCAAACTGACCTTAAATCGGTCATGGCCACTGAGGCATGGGAGACCTAAGTTTAGTATGCCCGTTCCATCAGCCAGCTTGTGTAAGTCCAAGTGCTATTGGTTTTCAAGGGCTCCTATTCTCCTTTTGAGGAGCTTAAAGTGGCCACAGAGGAAAGACGAGGTCCTGTCTAGAAGGCGCTATTAGATGGACAGTGTCAAGAAGGGCGTCTGCTTTCTCCTCCCCACTCCCTGCTTGAGCTAGGCCCTTTGGTCTCAATGGCTATGAGCTCGAAGAGGGAAGATGTATTCCCAGAGGGTGCGCTGGCACAATGCTGTCCTTAACAGGCAGATCCAAGGGAACCCCAGTCCCAAGTTATCACTAGTGTGAGTCACAAAACACCTAAATAACTTTAAGGTCACTTCCTAATAAACACCAGACATTTTCTTCACAAAATAGTGAAGTGGTTTGAGACCTGGGATGCTTAAGATATTGGTATTGCTATTAGATTTCCTTTCTCAGAGACTGAGAAAAACTGTCTTATTGAGCACCTGATGTCTACCAGTTGCTTGGATAGGTATATTATACAATTTGCTGGTAAAACCCTACCTATCCGGCACTATTATAATTTTCATTTTACGTGTAAGGCAAGTAAAGCTGGCGAGGCTGCAGTCTGACCAAGTATGGTTATGCACAGTAATGGGCATTACGATTTACAGTATTGAAACTCAAGTCATTTTGTTTGTAAAACATGTTTGTTTTTACCCAAACATATTTCTATTTCAAAAACCAGATACGCCTATTTTTCTGACCTAGGGGAGAAGTATCCATCATCCATAGGCTTCTAAATTCAGAAGCCACTGTGAGTATTGGACACCCACGAGATTATTGTGGCCTTGGCCTTAGAGTAATCACACATCCTTCCACTTGCCGTCCAGTGAGGAGTAAGCTAGGTCGAGGCCTCCCCAGTTATGAGGGTCTCATGGTCTTTGGCAAGAGACAGAAAAGCAAAGACAGTGTAGCCTTATTTTTTCTTTTCTTTTTTTTTCGTTGTACTGGGGAGTGAACTCGGGGGCTCTCTACCACTGAGCTACACCCAGGTCTTCTTAATTTTTTGTTTTGAGGCAGTGTCTTGCCAAGTTGCCAGGTTGGCCTCTAACTTGCAGTCCTCCTGCCTCATCCTCGTGAATCACTAGGATTACAGGCATGCAGCACTGCCCCAGCAACTTAGCCAATTTTAGTTGCAGTTATGAACGCATTGTTACGGCCTTTCTCCCCACCCCTGTTTGTATTCTGATCTCTTTTCTTTTTTAAATGAAATAATGGAGCTAGTAGAAAGTTGTTTTTAATCTACTTATTGATAAAATAAAAAATGTAGGACTCACTGAAAGAGTGGTACACAACAGACAGAATCAGAATTTTCAAACATGGTTTGATCTCTCCAGCATTCTGTTCAAATTTGTCCGATACATCTTCCCTTGACCTGAGTGACACTCTGGGTAGAGCTTCCCTGCTGGCCCTCAGATAACAAGATATTCTCCAGGCACCTTCAGGCACAACAATGTCTTTTTGGTAGCTAACATCTGCAGACAAGTTACTAATGAAGAGCCTGTCCCACACAGCGAGAGGGTCTGCTGCCCAGTTCAGGCCTGCACTGGGCTGGAAGACCGCCGTGGAGGGTGGAAAGATCTCCCTGACCTTCAGTCACCCTCTGCATCCTCACCCCATACACACACCAGGCTTGGCTCTGACCCCACGCTTGGGGATGGAGAGAGGGAAAGTAAAACAGAGGAATGGTTTTAATTACTGAGAGAGCTAACATCTGGCTTTTGTTCTTTTTGTACATGGGAGATGTTTGGTGTTAACTTTTTTGTCTTATGGAAGTTTGTTATCCAGCTATATTTCTACTTTTTAAAATTATGCTCAGTGGACTGTCACCTTCCACAACCTAAACTAAAACACAATGAGTACTTACTGAGTACCAGGTCATTTATACAAACTCCTGGCATCCCTAAACACCATGCCAAAAGACGTGTTAGAAAATGGCTCTTCAGACAAGTACCACATGTCCTCTCACATGTGGAAACCAAAAGAGGTTGACTTGAATGTGGGAAATGGGTGCTCGAGGTGGTGAAGGTGGTGTAGGGGGATGGAAGGAGCAGGTGGGATCTGGACCTGCACACTGTATGCATGTGAGAACTAGCATGCTAAACCCCTTTAAAAGGCACAATCTACACATGCCAATCAAATATAAAATAAAATCTTTTTAAAAAAGAAGTGCTAGCTGGGTGCAAAGGTGCACTTGTAATCCCAGTGGCTCAGGAGGCTAAGGCAGGAGGATGGAGAGTTCAAAGCCAGCCTCAGCAGAAAGCAAGGTGCTAAGCAATTCAGTGAGACCCTGTCTCTAAGTAAAATACAAATTAGGGCTAGGGGTGCGGCTAGTGGTTGAGTGCCCCTGAATTAAATCCCTAGTAACAACAACAACAAAAAAAGAAGTGCTGATATGTAAACTATGAAAACACTGTGGCCAATGAGAAAACTCAAACATAAAAGGCCACCTACCATATGAATCCATTTGTACAAAATGTTCAGAAGAGACCAATCCACAAAATCCAGACATGGGTGAGAAGCTGGCAGGGCTGGGAACGGAGAATCAGAAACGAGTTCTCACTGTGTGTGGTTTCTCCCTGGGACGATGAAATCCTCTGGAATTAAATAATGGTGATGGTTACACAATAGCATAAAGCTCCCTAAAAGCAGTGAATTTTATCCCTAAAATAATCAGTCTGTTGAATCTTACCTTAATAAAGAAAAACAAAGAACTGAATTTTCAGTCTCAACCACATTAACTTTTTGACTGTATTTGGCATACAGTCTTACTTTGCAAGACAACTTCTACTGTTTAGAAAAAGGAATACGTGAATAATAGTCTAATTTCTCATGTTATTTGAAATTGCCTAATATGCTGCACACCTTGAGGTCATATGTAGAAATACTATCTTCAGAAAGCTCACATTTGAATTCTTAAATGTTCCTGACTTCGTAGTCTAAGACAGAGTAGATTTGCTTATCGTCCTCAACATCAGCTGAACTTCAGAAGATAGAAGGAAATTATGCAAAGAGAAACTGAAGTGGTTTGTCATCACAGCAGTCAGTGATCTCTTGACCTTTAGACTTCCACATCACAGTATGGAGTTGGCTCCAAGATAAGAAACAGAATAAATTCTATAGACAGGCCTGAATCTCCACTTGCCTGTGGCCAGCACATCCGAGACGATGGCATTCGACGGTACTTGGAAAGTGAACCGGAATGAGAACTACGACGAGTTCATGGAAAAAATGGGTAGGAAGCCATTCCTCAGGGTTCTGTCTGCTTTCTCTAGGCCTTTCTCTGCTGTGAGATCCAGATGCCTGACAGCTCAGCACAGGAACAGCCACACCCGCGTCCTGCATCAGGAAGCGCGTGCACCCCACCAGTGGGGGACAGACTCTGAGGGCCCTCCTCTAGGACAGACACCAAGGCTTCCTTCCTTCTCGACCTGCTGCTTATACCTGTATCATTGAAAACCCACATTTGTTTTTTAATAGAGTAAGAAAATGGTAGTGGGTGATGATAATCCAAATTTTAAAACATTAAATTCTTGGGAATGGGAAAACAAAAATCATATAATAAAGTATAACAATACATAGAAAAGAGTTCTTTCAAAAATCACTTTGAAAAAATTAGATTTGATTCTCTTTTGCTCTGACTTACAAAACTTTAGGAATTTCCTCACAAAGCTACTATGTATTTGAGAAGTTTAATTTAACTGTTTTGTAAAATCTATGCTAATACCTAGTAGCACCCACACTGTGTAAGATGGGTGGTTTTTTTATCATTCCCCAAAATAAAAAATCTGCATCAATTGTATTGTACAGTTTAGGGATTCCAAGTTTAAATTTATAGAATTGTATATAATAATGAATTTGACCATGAAATTTTCAATTTTTACATTTTTGTGTCAGTCACAATGTCACCAAAAGCAATGATGTATGAAGTGTAGATTTTAAAAGCAATTATGGAAAGAAAGTGTTTTAAAATTCTGTATAAGCAGAATTAAAGTTGTATTTCTTCATGCATGTGTGAATATGCCTTGCCATACTTCATTTGACATTTCTCGAGTTTGATATGCATAATACTGAAACAAAAAGTGTATTAGTCTTATGAAAGTGAAGAAGCACTTAGATTTCTAAGACTCTGTGCTTCACCTGATTTTTTTGAAGTCTGGGAAAGCAGCTTGAGTCAGTCTTCTCGTGCCTGAGCTTGAACTTCTGCAGAAGCAAGCAGAGTGCCACTGGCTGCGCAGTGAGACGGGGTTTTCTTCCCCACCTCAGAATATACAACAACAAAAAGAAAACAGAAGATCAAGGGCTTTCTGGGCACTTTGGTCTCACTTTCTCTGGCCTCCTTTATCTTTCAGGGATCAACATGGTGAAGAGGAAGCTTGCAGCTCATGACAATCTGAAACTGGTCATCATACAGGAGGGGAACAGATTCACAGTCAAAGAGTCCAGCAACTTCCGAACCATTGACATTGTGTTTGAACTTGGCACTGCCTTTGCTTACAGCCTAGCAGATGGAACTGAACTCAGTGTAAGAACTTTTTATAAGCAGTGCATTATTGATTTTTCTACCCTATACTGAAACGGTATCTGCTTTGTCCCATTGGTTGGCTTAATTAATGCATATCTCCTTCATTTACTGAAGAAGCCCAACATTGACAGGGCATTTAAATATAGTGATTCAACCATCTATGAAGAATCTGGACTGAACTTTCTGGAAAGAAAGTGCTTAAAAATTCTGTATAAGCAGATTTGAAGTTGTATTTCTTTATGCATGTGTGAATATGCCTCTTCATACTTCATTTGACACTTATGGATTCAGAAAAATGTCCTTTGAATGAGTGTGTACAGATCAGCTCAGTATTTCCATACTGGCAGCACAAAAGCTTTCAGAGTTATGTAACATACACCTAATAGTCATTTGATAAATACATTGAAATAAGAAGTTAATAAGTGAGGAATGAGTGAACAACCAAGAGGAAGGTCTAATGCTGCAGTGTAAGTCACTGAGACATACCCTCTCATGATCATGGTAAGACTTCCGAAGTCATCATCTTCAACCAATTTTTTAAAGCTCTGTTTTAGCCTTTGAGTTTTTCTAGTTAGATTCTATACATCTGCAATGACAGTTTAACTGCTGAATGTTTTATCAACTGTGCCTCAAAGATGGCCCATGGAGGTTGTGGAGGGAGGGCAGCATGGTAGTTGGTGGCATCACACAGGTCCTCCAGGACCCCCAGTGAGGCTCCAGGCTGGTGCCTGGCTCTGGGGGAGAGTGACAGAACCGTGGTTGTGGACACTAATGAAACCGTGGCTCTACAGAACTAGAACCATGTGTGACACACACAAGATCTAACACATGCCACTTTGTCATCACAATGCAGGGGACCTGGAGCCTTGAGGGAAATAAACTTGTAGGAAGATTCAAACGCGTAGACAATGGAAAGGAACTGAATACTGTCCGAGAAATTACAGGGGATGAGCTCATCCAGGTGAGTTGTAAAAAGACCTGTAACTACTTCCCAAAGACAAAAATGATTACATGTTTTTTGAAAATTGATGAGTTATATCTTTAGTTAACAGACTGTTATTTCTTTTCTTGTGTATCTTAAAAAATAGATATTTTATGCATTTAAAAAATAGATATTTTTATGCATAGTTATTGAAGATAATTTATATATATGTTGAATACAAGAATCCTAGTTTAGCTGGATGTGCTGATGCACACCTGTAATCCCAGTGACATGGAAGGCTGAGACAGGAGAATTGCAAGTTCATGGCCAGTCAGCAATTTAGGGAAGTCCTAAGCAGCTTAGCAAGACACTGTCACAAAATGAAAAATAGAAAGGGCTGGGAATTTGGCTCAATTGTAAAACTCCCCTGGGTTCAATTTCCTGTTCAAAAAACAAAAAAACAAACAACAACAACAACAATAAAACCCTAGTTTAGCTGAAAATGTAAATGACTAGAAGCCAAAATGTGTTTTGTAGTGGACATCTACATCTGCATAAAATGTCGCTATCACTACATGAAAAAATAGTATGAACTCATCCGGATCTACAATAATACTAAAATTTCTTAATGTAGATATATTAATGGCAATTTTTTAATGCTTGCTGACACCTTTCAGACCTACACGTATGAAGGAGTAGAAGCCAAGAGGATCTTTAAAAAGGAATAAGCACAGTTCTCAGGCACCGCCCGCCCAGAATACATATGCTGGAAGTCTGTCCCATTCAGAGATGCTTTTCTCTGCCCATCAAGCATGAGGTTCTGAATAATTATTCCTTCTACAAACATTGATGTACTTCCAGCCTTGACAAAGCAAGCAAGTAAAAGCTATTTATGATTTAATTTGTTTTATATTCTTTAACAATGAAATTCATGGGAATTCTAAAATAATATGCAACATATTTTAAAACAGAAAAATAAATACTATTCTATATATATAGGCTCTTCTTTAAAACAACAAAGCTATGTGACATGTGCAATAGTAGACAGTTTTTGTTGTGTTTATTTTCAAATTTGGCAAGCTAAACACATAGGCTGTGTGTGGGTTTCTAAAATTTTGCAATGGTTGTGAATAACTTCCTTGGTAGCATCTCTTATTATAAAAGCAATGCATACTCAACCAGAAGGCTCAGAAATAAGAAAAGCAAATGCACCCACACACCTGCAAGACCCTGGCCTTGAGCCTCAGCACTGCACTGAAGAAAAAATATCAATATGTTCATTTTATAACTTCATAAAAATCTTTATAGAGTAAATATCGATCATTCAGCTTAGCAAGACACTGTCACAAAATGAAAAATAGAAAGGGTTGGGAATTTGGCTCAATGGTAAAACTCCCCTGGGTTCAATTCCTGTTGCTGGGCACAACAGGAGCCAGAAGCACACATTACTTCTCTGACTGCACTAGTCTTCACATGTGAAGTGGGGGCAGGCACCACTCCCACCTGCAGGTGGGGAGACAGACACCAAGCATCTTAGCAGCTCATCTAATGATGACTAGGGTCACTAACGTAGGTCCTAGATTTTAGTCCAGTATGTCAGATCCATTACTCAGCCTGTTAAAAATAAAAATACCTTTTAAAAATTTTTTTACATCTTTTTTAATATCTATTTTTTAGTTTTAAGTGGACACAATATCTTTATTTTACATTTATGTGGTGCTGAGGATCGAACTAAGTCCTCAAGCATGCTAGGCGAGCACTCTACCACTGAGCCCCAACCCCAGTCCCCAAAACAAAAATGTCTTAAGAAAAAGATCCCTTAATTCTCCTGTGGCACCAAGACTTGCACTGCAAATGCACCGGGTCAAACTGTGAGATGAGGGCAGGGCCACTGTCACTGCTCTCCCCAGCCCAGTGAAGGCTCTCTTCTCTCACAGCTTATCCCCTTTCACTCTCTGTTAGCATTAGAGATCTGCCTACTGTTGCTCAGCAGCTGCCACTCCACTAAGCGCTCTTCACGACAGCTGGGCTTGGGCTCCCAGTGTCCAGGAGCAGCTGTGCCCTTTGGCTAACTGCTGAACTCTGTGTCGAGGAGCAACACTAAGTGCGTCCAGAAGAACTGGTGGGCAGGGCGTTTGAATTTGAGAAATACACAGTTTGTCGCTGGTAGGAAGGAACATGGTTTAAGAGGACCCTGGAGACACCAGGATGGAAGCACAAGTTCTTGGCTGGGAGCAACAGGAGCCAGAGGTGCACCACAGAGCAGTGAGCCAGGCACACCTAGGGAACAGCTGGAGGTTCAGTTGTAATGTGTGCGAATTGGGATTTCCTTCAAGTACTTTCCCCAGCCTCAGGTGGGGGCAGAGTGGGAGGGGTTAGGGGAGACCATTGGTCACAGGTGATTACTCCCGCAGCTGCTGGATGGTGCCAGACAGTCACAGATGTCAGGGTCACTGGGACGTGGCAGGAATGTGAAACTCATCCCTCTTTTCCTTACTCTTGTATGTTTTTGCAATTTTCTATAACCAAGAGTTTAAAATATATTTACACACACACAGAACTCCAGAATCCAACTTCCTCTTATTACGGCCACTGCTGTCACCTCAATTGAAGACACCGCCATCATCACCTGAATTACTGCAAGTCTCCCCTAAAAAGTCTCCCAACCTCTATCTTCCCTACTGAACCCCATAGCAGACAGGAGAATCCTTAAAGGTCTAAGTCAGATCATATCACTTCTCTGTACAAAATCTGCAATGGCTCCTTGTCATTAGAGAAAAAGCTGGAGTCCTTGTGTTGCCCATAATACCTGTGTGACCGACCTCCCCTTGTATCTGACATGAGTCCTGATTTCCATGGCATATCTGGGGAGATTATTCCCAGCAGGGGAAGCACTTAAAGCAAAGGCCCAAGAAAGAAGTTGGCCTGACAAGCTTGAAGAACATGAGACCCTAGAAAGCGTCCCTAAGGCCATCCAGGACAGACTACAATCAATACCCATGTTCAGGAAATATAGGCCAATTTAGCCTCCCAAAATTCACTAGTGACAAGGTTAGAAGAGTGTGGACTTAGAATCAGAGACTTGCCTAAATACATCTTTCCACTTACCAAAATTCAAGTTCTGACTCTCAATTTTTCTCATTTGAAAATTAGTAATGGTTTTCTGATATTTTATTAATTGAGCTAGTATACATAAATGTCTGGAATAGTGCCTAACAGATAGCTTGGCTCTCAAAAACACAGAGAAAACAGAGCAAGTCCATGAGAAAGCTCTTTTCCTAAAATATTTCCCTTCCAGTCTGTGACAAAGCGAGGCTTGGCTCCACAGAGGAGATCTTTGCTCCAGCCCAGTCTGTGGCATGACTAGCTGGGGACTTTGGGACTACCACTTCATCTCTTTGGAATGCAGTTCAGTCATCTCTAAATGAGGGGACCTGGCTGGATCTCCACAGTCCCTCCAGCACCAAGCCTCTGCTGTCTAAACAGCACTGGGTGATTCTTAAGCAACACTTGGGTCTGTGCCATTGGGAGAGGGTGCTGGAATAGGGAGGGTGGGATGAGAGGAGGAAGTACCATTGGGCTATTAAGTATGGCTAGTTCATGGTACGAAACCTGTGCAGGCTCAGGGGGCCCTGTGCTTGGTTTAGCACTCTATTGTTACCGTCTTAAAATTTCTAGCAACTTGGTACAAGGAGTTTTACATTTTCATTTTATACAGGGCTCTGCAGATTACTTAGCCAGCCTTATTGCTATGAGCTGACTATCATTAAGCACAAAAGGTATTTTTCTATGAGCAACTAGAGAGACTGTCAGCAAGATACCCCTGAGTACCTGAAGAGGTGAACAGGTGGGTGAGGAGGTGGCATGGAATAGAATGGAAGTGAGCGGAGGTTTTGTGGGGATGGGGTGGGGAAATGAATCCTTCAAAGTTATGAAATGTGGTCTACCTTGAGGGAGTGGCACCTATCCTGTACACTACAGTGTAAGAGTGCCATCTGCTGGGCAAGGACCGGAGCCAGAGGTTTCCAGTGCAGACTCTGCATCAGTGTCTTAAGATATTCCAGGAAGATTTGACATACCATATTCTGCAGTTTGAAATGATAATTATTAAATGTGTCTTTAGTTACAAATTCCATACAAAACAAAAGTAACACAAAGATGATTCTTCTCTCTTCCTGAACCAACTTCCTAACGCTGCTTTCATTCACTGAACAAAAATAAATTTCTGAATAGCACCATCTACCAGGTATCCAAGATAAACGCCCCTGGGAGAGACATGAGTCACTAGGAAGCTCCTTGAATGGATCCACATTCTCAGGCTCACCTTGGTCCTGAATCAGAATGCACCGGGGAGCCTCGTCCTCGAGTTGGAAGGCACCCAGGGCAGGCCTTCTGTTTCCTGGGTGCTGATGTGAGGGTGGTGCACAGCTGTCCCCCAGACCTAGGGCCAACCTTCAGGCATCATGGGACAAAATGCTGAAAAGCTGACGGGAAAAGAAGAGTATGCAGGGTGGCAACAGAAGGGAGAGACTGAGAAGCCACAAGCACACCCTGACACAGGTAAGCACTGCCTTGGGGGCTCCTCTCAGCTACACCCATCCCACTGAGCAATCCATGAGCATGACACTACCGGGAAGCGGACAGGGAGCTGTGTGCTTGTCCAGTCCCTGGTGGCTGGGCATGCTGTGCAGGCAGCAGCGCAGGAGGAGCCTGAGCAGAATGAGTCAGTTCTGCCTGGACCCCAGCCCAGCTCCAGGGTCCCAGCCCACAGACAAGGGGTCCGCCTGGTTCCTGGCAAACAAATCTGGAACACACTATTCCCTAAGAAAATACCCGAAAGTCAAGGAACAATGTTCTTTCCAAACTGGAAGAGTTTCAAGTAAAAGAGCATATGTCCAATGCCATTTCTCAGTTTTACTTTTTCAATAAGGCACTGTTAAAACAGGCAAATGAAAGGACATAAATGTGACAAAGAACTTTCCTATTTAACATACTCTTAAAGCAGAAAGCTGTCAGTAAGGATGGAAATTGTCTCCCACGCCAATGTGGATGGGGTGCTGGTCCCGGGTGTCTTCTTTGAGGGATGCACACCTCTACCAAGCCGTTACTCTGCATCCGTTACTATGTTTGCCTGGGCCCTGAGGTCTGTGAGTGCTACAGAGGCATGGCTCCGAGTCTTCTGTGTCCCCTGCTGTGGTCCTCAACATAGGCAAACAGTATAGCATGGGGGGAGGGTGCGGGGTGCTGAGCCACTCAATGCCCAAAGGCCAGCCCTCCCTTAATAGAAGTCCTACTGAGGACCGTTCCTAGTTGTTCTTACCCAGAGGTAACCTTAATCTGAATATCACCTTAGCCTTCTTATTAGGACAAAAGTGGCCACCTGACCCAAGGGCAGCCAGTTTCTATACTTGAGAACAGCTTTTGATAAGAGCTTTGTAGTTAGACAAGTAGGTGGGGCTCTCCACTGAGTTTTGACTCCAATACACAGCCAAGGCTGCTGGCTAGAGGTGGAACAAAAGCTGAGAGAGAGGTGGAGCAGCACACAGAGGTCAGGAGGCAAAAAACTCAGGTCAAGTTCTATTAAACAAAAAACAATAGAAGAGGAGATGATAGGCTTTGGATGTGAAATAAATTCCCATTTCTGGTGGATAAAAATAAAACTTGTTTGGTAAAGTATTCAGGGGTCCAAGAGTACATATTCCTTTAGGCAAATATGAAAGTGAGTCCCTGCCTTGTACCAAACGTGACACACACTTCAGCAGTGAGCACAACAGCCCTACTTTGCT